AGGTCGCACATGGTAGTACTTCCGCAGAAACTCGTCGGCTACAGAGTCCCTCTGCAGGCGATGGAAGGCTTGGGCGGAGAAAGTTCAAATACATTGGCCATAGCTGTCACTTTGTGGGTAGCTTCGTGCTGGAATTCCTTATAGCGCCACACACTTCGGTGATCCAAGGTTATGAGGTCGCTTCCCAGTTTCAAGACTTTCAGCGGAGGCAGGTAGTCGGCTTGATTCGATTGCATCGAAGACTTTCCAGCAGCTCCCATCGCGAAAACGCATGTTCCGGTCGTTGGCAGTACTGGAGAGGGTTGACTGCAACCTCTGTCAACCCCTTGAACTTGACGTCGTTGCCCAACTCTTCCGCCTCGACTTTGATGCCTGTGGCTGTTGAGGCAAAGTCACCTATGCATGCACAAAGCTTGGCCGCAACGGCTTCCCCGACTTCGTCGACACTGAACTCGAAACCCGCACTGGCCATGGTCAACAACGTTGGCATGTCAAAGAACGCAAGAACACGACGGTTTTGGCACCGCGACCACGCCGAAACCCGCACAGGGGTTGTGTTTGTATGTCAAACACGACGGTTTTGGCGCCGCGACCACGCCGAAACCCGCAGAGGGTTGACGCGCGCACGAAAAATGTGCAAAAAACGATAGTTTTTGCACCGCGACCACGCCGAAACCTGCAGAGGGTTGTCCGCGCAAAGCAAGAAACGTCAAAAAACGACGGTTTTAGCACCGCGACCACGCCGAAACCGGCAGAGGGTTGTCCGCGCACAGCAAGAAACGCAAAAAAACGATGGTTTCAGCACCGCGACCACGCCGAAACCTGCAGAGGGTTGCAATCCCGATTGACGACGTCAACCCAGCCCGCCGCCTTAAAAAGAGTAATTGCAATTGAGAAATGTAGGACTGGGTACGAAGGCTAAATTCTACTAACATCTCGTAATTCTATGAAATTGTACTAAAATTGTGAATTCTACTTTATGCACTTGACTCTATGCACTTGACTTTGAGCACTTCACTCTATACACGTGACTCTATGCACTTCACTCTATGTACTTAACTCTATGCACTTGACTCTATGCACTTAACTTTATGCACTTGACTCTATGCACTTCACTCTATGCACTTCACTCAATGCACTTCACTCTATGCACTTCACTCTATGCACTTAACTCTATGCACTTCACTTTATGTACTTAACTCTATGCACTTGACTCCATGCACTTCAGTCTATGTTGTTGGGTCAGAGGGCTCCGCAAGGAAGAACCTTTCGCGATGCTTTCGGGAAAACACAAAACAAATACTTAAATTAATTCCGGACCCATTATATAGCCCACTCAGAAGCCCCTCAAGTACCCTCAGAGGGTTACAATTGGGTTAAACGTACAGTTATACCAGGGTTACGAAGTGCACTGATGCTCCGAGTAGGGCTCAGTGTTCTGAAGTTAGGCTTGGGGTAGGGAGGTGCCTTGGGGAGGGGTGCGGGGTGGGGGGTGTAAGGGTTTAGGGTTTTTAGGGTTTCGGGTAAGAACTGGCAGTTTAGTGGAGTTTGTTGCAGTCGCTTCAGTTCTCTTGTTTGGGACGAAGTTACGGGGATCCTCAAAGCCGACTCTCTGTCTGAGCCAAGAAGGCATGACAAAACCCTACATACCCTATGCCACTCAGGCTTACAGCGACTTCCAGACATACCGCCTAAAGTGTCAACCTGCTCACGAAAATTCTTCAGTCAGTTGCCCCCAAAGAACTCTGAGCTTTGTAAACCGTGAAAACCCAAGGAGTCGGTCCTGGGGCAAATGTGAGATTTAGTGTTCAGGGTTTTGGGGGTTTAAAGGGTTAGGGTCCCTTCACCGTTTTTTGTGCGCGGAGACATGAAAGCGAGAGCCGAGGCAGCAGCCAGGATAAAGTACGTTTTCCGTTCTCCTTGAAAGCGTCCATGTCATTGGGGAGTGATTTTGTGCAAAGGCTCTGAAAGTTTCCATGCGGAGTTCCGGAGGACGTTTCCGGCAACCAACGGTGTCTTGGAGCCTAAAGTGGCATGTGTTGCTTTGTGTTGCTGTCGTTTTCGGCTCAAGTCTTGTCATTCGCCATGGCTAATCCTCATCCGGCTGGCAACCCAAACGTGGGGCAGGACAAATTGATGCACGCATAGCACATTTTCATATCTCTGAGGCCTTCAGCGTGCGTTGTAGCTGTTGTGTTGAGCGTCTGACGGCAGGAGCAACCAACTGACTCCGAATTGCGCGAGCTCAACCGCAAGTTCGAGGCGTCGACGTGCCTGGATGATAAGCGAACCCGAATCTTTGCACGTGCGTCGTCGCGAATGTTCTACACGAGTTGTATTGCAGGAGCTTCTCCGACGGTGCGAAAAGGATCGGGCGAAGGCCACATCACAGTTGGACATCGCAGTTGTGTCATCCTCCCAGCCTAGAGCTGGAGCTTCCACGGTGTCCTATCTGTGACCAGCTTTCGTCGATCCTTGAACTTGGTGATGCCTAAGAGCGTTTCCTCAAGTGACCTGGCCTACAATCAAACTTTCCAGTGTTGGGCAGGACAGCGAGCACCCGGACAAGCAATTCCCAGACGCTTAGTTTATAGGAAGTTGGATGTGTTGTCGGGACATGTGCATTTGTTTCTTTGCGTTGCACTGAGGATTGGTATCGTGAACCTGACATCAGCATCCCTTCTTGGCTGTCCACAGCAGCTCGTCTCGGCAGCCGGTCTTTCTCGTGCTGCAGATTCGTCCGCCATCAGAGATGCGATGGCACCATGCAAAGGGCACGGATAAGTGAGGATTCGCCTTTCCAGCAACCCAGTCCACCGCAAGATCGCCTGGCTGCGGTTATTGCTGCTGAGAGCTGGCCAGCACGAGGCTTGAATAAGTATGTACAAGATTCTCGACATGTTGGAGTGAGCGCACCTAACGAGAGAGAGAGAGAGAGAGAAATTCGGCAATGCATTCAAAGCTGCGCCCAGTTCTTGACATGTTTGTTTTTTCAACGATGCCGACAGGTGGCTTTAACTGGCAGGTTTGCTTACCGACTGCAAGATGCTCGACTGCACTTGTGTTGGGTGACAAGACTTGTAACAAGCAGGGAAGCATGATGAGTTTGCGTGTTGCCCTCGTTTGACCATTGTAGGCTTTAATCATGACATGCATGTTGCCAAGGCAAGAACTGATCATGACGTCCTATGTCCCAAGCTTATCTTGTGGTCTTGCGGGTGTGTCTTGCACTGTGCGTGCAAATACAGTGACAATGATGTGTGTTAACAAGATTTGACTTGCCCGGGCTTGCTAATTTGTCATGTGGTCGTCCCCGCAATGCCCATGGTTCCTTGAGTTCCTTGGCAACTTATGGCACACTTGTTGACCAGGTCACCAGCAGCAGGCTCGTTTTGTGCGATGATTGTGCTCGATCATGATTGTGATACCTGTCCAAGATCGTGAGTGTAGTGCAAGCAAGTTCGCTCGTGAAACGGGCGCGATCGCAGCGAGTCAGCGCTTCAATATACATTCGTCTTTCCTTGCAAGTTAAGCTTGCCACATTTGCGTCTGCGCGCAGGCTGTATAGCGAAGGAGCTGTCGTGGGACACTGCCTTGTTTGGGCAGCTTGGACTGGATTGCACAGGACAACCTAGCCTACTGGGAGAAATAGCACGGCAAGTCAATGTAGTAGTGCAGTGCATTTAGTAGTTGAGGTCGTTTTTTGGAGTCTCTGCCACTTTGCGATGGCTGTTCCGGCTGGCGCGCTCGAGCGCGACTGTGTTGGCACATCGTGCTTTGCGATGCAAGCGCAGTCCTAAACACAACTGCAATGTTGGGGTTGCGCTTTCATAGCCAAGCTCCGCAACATCGCATACGTAGTTGCCATAGCTCAGACATGATTGCGCCAGCTTTGCTGATCTCCGAATTGTAGGAGGGATGCGAGAGGCCATATCCCATGTGATGCGCGAAGTGAACCCAAGGCATGATGGTCAATGATCCACAGGTGGAACCCAAGATGCTTCCTTCTTGGCAGTCGCAACAGTCCCATGACAGTGGTATTCAGTGGTGCAAGCACAGTGGAAAAATGTCTGTGGAGGCGAAGCATGGTGGGCAGAGACAGCGCTCCGTGGAACCCACAGTGAACGCATGTAAACGCCACACGGAGTGTGGGTCCGCGCAGAGGGGCTTTCGGCTCGTCGAGGTGGTAAACATGTTGAACTTGGCATGACTTGACCTCTGCTGAGGTTTACGTGAGGCGACTCTGCCGTAGCCAGCTCTTCTGCCTTTTGAGCCTGGCCTGTGCCCGAGGGATGCTTGCGTTATGGCCCGTACGGCATCGTCTGGCAAAGCTATTTTGCACATTTACAGACTGCTTCTGTCGAATCGTGTGATAGTGGTAGTGTTCTCTGAGCCCCAGGTCGGTGCCGCCGGGCTGATATCGGCCCACTGCTGCCTTTCGCAAGACCCTGTTCCAGCTTTCATCTTGGTAGTTGGCAATTTTACGTAGTGAAAGTGAGAAGGACATGTGGCATGTGACATCGCCCAGTGTTGTGAAGGTCGTAGAGAGACAATCGAAAGCGCACTGCATCAAATCTACTTTGAGTCAGTAGGTGCTGCGCTAACAGTGACCTTGTCAATGCGCAGTGCTGTCACAGGACCTTCTCTTGGACTTCACTTCGCATCATCAGGCATGGTGAGGGTGCGGTGAACGTGCGGGCTGCATGCTCGTGGCAGGTACTGTTTAGCATGGCGTTCGGACATTGGATCGTGAGTTTCTTCGAGGCGCTGCCCAAACAACAACTTTGGCATCAACATCAATGTACATAGAATGGACAAAAATGACAGATGCAGGACCTGCAACGCACTCTCTCTGCAGGATCTCAATTGCAGTGGCTTCATGGGCGGCGGACTGGACAGCAAGGCATCCAGATGCCAATTGTCGTTGCGGTGTCTGTTGGATTCTTCTCCTAGCAGTGCTCTGTGTGGTGCTCATTGTCACGGCAGTGGCAATGCTGGTGCGGTTCCTTGTGCGCGGCTTTGCCAAGTCTGAGGCTCTTCCCGGAATCCGAGATCCTTCCACTATTCTTTTTCAGGCGAACGAGTTGTTAAGCAATCGTGAAGCATTTCAGGAGTTACTTTGTACTTCAGGGCTTTCTTCTCCACCACCTGGCGGCTGGAGTGAGCTATGCCGCCCTCCTTCGCTACCGCCCGCGAGCTTAGATGGAAATCAACCAGTCTCGAGCAGCGCAGCTAAAGCACCTAAAGATGTTTTCCAAGAAACTCAGTGAGGGCTGGGCTGTGTGGGAACGCTGGGACTCCTCTTCGAGCTGCCGGCGCCTCCACATGGGGGTGTGGACTCTTCTTGGTACTCTTGTTGTGAAGACTCTTGTGGAGATCTTGTTGTGGAGACTCTGATGGAGCTTTTGTCGGGATTCTTGTGAAGCTTCTTTTGAGACTCTTGTGAATATGCTTGTGGAGACTTTTGTGGACACTGTTCACGGCCGTTGCCCGGAGGTGCCACTCCTAGCTCGTCGCGAGTTGTCACGGGTTGTCGGGCGGCAGGCTGCTTGGTCCAGGCGAGAGTGCTGTGGCACAGCAGAGGATGCTAACGAAAGCAAGCGTAGTAGGTAGCGTAATGAGTCTTTCCTTTTCATCTGCTTTAGTACATTGTTTCTTTGACAGAGCTTTTGTGGAGCTACGCTTGAGGCTTATTGGATCTTGACTGTGTGTCTTGTGAGACACTGCGCTCTCACGTGGGGGGTTTCCCACTGACTTCGTGTCTTCGTGGGTACATTGGGGTTGCTTGATGCACGTCTGCTCCAACAGATGCCCCGCAGGCACATTTTGGCATCAGTGTTGTGGCCTGCTCAGGAAACCACGAACGTAACGCAATCGTTTTGAGCATGCGTCATGGATGAGATCGCTTGTTGCACGAACTCGAACCATCGTGGCATGTGTGCATCGTAAACGAATACTCGCTACGAATACGTCTTTCGCATCAGTGTTGGAACCCATCAGCACTAGCAAGAGCAACGCTGAGACTTTCCGAAGGCTATCGCCGCCAACGAAAAGACATCGGCAACAGCAGCAACAAACCATTGAGAACATTTTAGCGTGAACAACATCTGTCAGTCATAGCTAACCCCCGTCCCCTGTAGCTCTTCAAAGTATGCTTTGCAGCTGCGGAGGTGGATGTCGGAACGGACTTCTGTCAGCGAGCACTGGCGTGAAACTGAGCCGTTGAAAGCTGCAGCTGGAGCATACCAGCATATCTGGAACAGTCATGTATCTTCTGTTGCCAGGCGATACACCTACATTTTGTTCCTCGTGGGCCGAGGGGGACCGATGGCAGCTTATGTGTGGAGCCTAGACCCATAGATTGCCCATACCATGCCACGAACTGCCACCTGCCGAATCTGATGCCTAGTCAGCCTAGGTGTATTCCGTGCTATGGCAGCTCGCCTCGATTTACCCAAGAGATGGGGTTGTTTGATCCTTTGCAAACTGAAGCCAGAGTGCTGTTGCCAAGAAGAAAGGCCCGGCTGCCTGACTTCAGGTTCCAGGATGATCTGGCCAAGCTGCAGCTGCCTGAACTGCCAACCGCTCGGTGTGAGGACTTTGCAAGCACGTGCAGGGTAGAAGCGTGCCTCCGTGCATGGGCCAGTTCTGCTGACTGCCTGAAGTTCCGAACGTTTCCTGAAGGTTGCTGTACCACAGCACCTGCATCTTCTTCGGTGTTTGGCCCTTTCCTCGGAGGTTTCGAGCCTGCGTTTCTCGACCTCCAACAGCCACCGCGAGCCCTTGTCCGTATGAGATTCTCTTCTTTTGCAGCTTTCACAAGACTATCACTTGTCTCGAAGGAACTACACCTTCCTGTCTGTGCTGGATGCATGGTGCCGGGCCGATGTCGTAGCCGCCTCAGCGTCTCGGACCGGCGAACATTTTTCCAATCTATTTCGCATTGTGTCATGTTGTGTCCATATGGTGCTTTTGTCTTGCCGATTCTTGCCATGATTCCAGGCGGCCGCACTTCCAGAGCTCTTCGAGGAGGATCTAGTTCAGCCATAGGGAACATATTTGCTTTTCGCAGCTTGCTTTTGACACAAATTGCAATGGTGCTGCTACCAAGCCTTTTGTCGAACTTTGTCGTCAGCTTTGCGTGCCCCATATCGCAAGGACCCAGAACAGCCTGGACCTGGTGCGGAAACACCTCAAACACCTCAAGAGCCTGAGGCGGAGTTGCATGTCAGGTCCACGTGGGGTGCAGCCCTAAATTCGCGGTTCATCTGCCGTGCATCCGCACGTGTGTGCAGCAAAGCGGGTTCTTTCGGTCTTCTGTGCAGCATGCAAGCTTGTTGTCTTCTGGTTGTTTGCGGCGTTGAGCTTCTACACGCGTTTTCTTTCTCGAGCCCTGGTATCAGCTTGCCTGGTTGGGAAAGAGCTGGGTTTTTTGTGTGATCTCTTGTTTTTAGGGTTTAGGGATTTTTAGGGTTTAGGGATTTTTAGGGTTTAGGGACTTTTAGGGTTTAGGGATTTTTAGGGTTTAGGGTGTTTTAGGGTTTAGGGATTTTTAGGGTTTAGGGTTTAGGGTTTTACCAAGCTTGGGTAGGGCCGGGTAGGGGATTCTGAACATTTGCAGTGCACACTGACCCTCGTTTTGTGTCCTTCATCCCTGCTGTTCCATGTTCCTTTCCGTGTTTTCCCGGATGAGGATTTGGAAGTGTAGTGGGCATTGTTCCAACCATCCTACTTGGTGCTTGGTGCAAGTCTTCTCACGTAGGCAAACGGGGTTTGTTTCAGCAGGCAGTTTGGGGCAGTTGTCTCATGCAGTTTTCTAGTGCGCTGCCTTCCCTCGAATGTGTAAGCAGAAAGCTGACACCATTGAAATCCATTCAAACGTTTCCAAAAGGCCGCAGCGCTCTACGAGGTCGACGCGGAGGCTTTGAAAAATTGGGGGGTCTCTGGGTTTGGCGAGGGTACACTTGGAAGGCTTGCCGCATCAGGGACTCCGGGGGATATGGTGTCTGTCCAGACCGTCACTCTGCTCTTTGCTAGAGTGGTTTTGGTGCTAGCTGAAGAAAGCGTGTCAACATGCATCGGCCGTATTCTGACAACCCCTAGTACATTGATTTCGGATGGGTGAGAATGATAGAGTATGTAGTGAGAGCTTGCACCGAGTTTCTTTTGCCAAGCTTGGCGAGAAGAGCCTGCAAGCGGAGGTCCTGGCGTCCAAAGCAGACAGTGGTCTTCTTTGGCTTTGAACCCAGATGAGCGTGAGACACGGTTGTTTGAATACTGATCGCTGATCTCTGTTGGGGGTCGGATCCGCGCACACAACGGCATTCCAGAATATTCTAGAACCATTTTTGCTCGAGGATTCCCAAGCCACCAGCGATGGGTTTTAACTTTGGCGCTTCCTCGTGAGGCTGGTGATTGAAGGCGTGGTCTACGACCTTTCGTGGGCGCCCCAATTGTCCCAACGTGGGTCGGTCTTTGACAGAGAGTCCTCTCTTCCAGGCTTTGGCATGAGCACCCAGGAGGTTCGCCCCATAGTTTGCCCTGCTCTGCACGGCCAGATGCAGCAAAGCGTGGAAGTGTGGCACATGTGGCTATGTGCCCACGTGGCCAGGTGTGGAAGTGCTGCGTCAGCTTGCAGGCTCGGCTTCAAGCATAGAGAGGCAAAAAGGTAGAACTAGACCAGTGAGGCTGTTAGGATGTGTCAAAGTTTTGACTCTTTGAGGCAAGGATGCCACTGGCGAGTTTCAGCAGGCTCAGCAACTGAACAGCAAGTAACCGGAGCTGTGGATCTTCCCGTACTGGTCTTGTGAGCAGCTCGTCGTGTGCAGGCCTGCCCGGCTCTCCACTCTTCTCTTGCCTGGACCTTCGCAGAGAAGCAGTTGACATGACATCAGTTTTCCCTCTGTGGTTCTCAGGCCTCCGTGTCCAGATATCAGGTCCCCTTGCAGCATTTGCAAAGGATTCGCGTAGAGAAGGTGGTGAGCGGCCCTTGCAGCAAAGCCTGCCGTGCGCTGCTGCTTGGTACAGCACCGGGTGTTGAAGATGGCAGGTTGGTGCCTTGAGGCTTCCACCGCGGGAGTATCGTCGCACCCCCAAGGAGTTCTTGGTTCACCCATTGCTTCTCCTGAAGTGCGGGCCATAGAAGCATAGGAAGGCCTTTGAGATGCGATTTCTAAGGAATCTTCGAACATCCATTGGAGGAGGAGGCGATGCGAAGGCTCCTTTTGCAAACGCTAACGTGTCATTTGAGAAGTCCCCACCTGAAATTGTTGTCGCCGACTTTGTTGTCACGTGAATTAAACGTGTCAGCACATGCTCATTCCAAGGCTGCTGACTGTCGCACTCTTGGCATTCCATTTGAGTGGTTTACAAGGTTGAAGACCATTTGTCATTGACATTTAGCAGCGGGGAGTCTAACAAAGCCCTCTCTGAAAGAACATCTCGGGGGTCACATGGCTCACTGACTCAGTTTGCCCTGCCGAGCTTGAGCTTGGGCGCCGTCGGCTTCCAGGCGCCTTACAGAGGAAATGGAGAGTTGACCTTCTGAGCACCGCTCTGAGCGCATGCTTTTGGACCTCTTCCTCGCTTGCGCTGCTTTGGAGGCCTTCCTCCAACATGTGCCAGACGCGCCTTTGCGAGACGCGGTGCCGGGCCCTGGATTGGGAGGATTCCGATTCATGCCAGCTTCTGGCTTCTATCGTCGGCTTCTAGTTCGGGGTCAGGCTGGTCGGAGCCCTGGGCCACTCTGCGGGCTGCTGGCTGCAGTGGCCGTCTCCTGCTCAGGGCCTCTCACCTCTTAAGGCTCTGCAGGGATCTGACAACACTTCAGGCTGCAGCTTTCGGCCTTGTTCTGCCCGTGAGGCAGGGCTGTCTTGGGCGTGGTCTCAATTTTGAACACACAGGACTCACATAGGGCTCGCGCACATGCTCGCACTGTTGATGTTGCAAGGCGTCTTCTCGGCACAGCCTCAGCCTGTGGCACAGGCTCGGGCTGGCCTTAGCCCGAGTTGCTGCGGTTTACCCAGAATGTTTGCAAGAGCGTCCTTTGCTTCAAGCATGGTGTTCCAGGCATGCCCACATCATTGCTTGAAGCTTGGTGGATGTCTGCTTTTTTGGATGGCGACGTGTGGTCTTGAGATTCATTAGATCCGCTCAGCAGCTTCCCTCAGGCAGTCTGCATTGTTGGCTTGTACGGAGCCATTCCCGGTGCTTCCTCCACAATGACGGCGGCAATGGTCGACGCAGCTCCCGAGGGTGCGCCCGCCTCACGTGTGTCAGTGGCGCAAGCGGGCAAGAGACTCGTAGTTTGCAAGAAGAAAGATGAAGGGCGAAGGATGGTGAAGGGAAGGATTCTGACACGCATGCGATCACATCTGATGACAACATGGTGATCCGTCGTTCTGTGTGGTTGCAGGCCTGGAGCGGCTCTCCGTCGCCTTGCTGGCCGTGGAGCTCATCCTTTCTCCGGCCGATTGCCAGAATTTTGGGAGTTGCAAGTTGCACGCTTGTTGGAGGGGTAAAAGGGATTAATTGAGAATCACTTTTAAAGTGCGCCACTGTCTCTGTGTTTCCGCATGAGTACGCCGCTGCAAATGAAAACCCTACAAACTCTGCCAACAGCAGCGAGTGGGCTTTGGCCGGCCTCCTGACATGATGCAGGGGACCCCGTGCTCTCCTCGACTCTTCTGTGAAGTCCTCGGCCGCCTGTATCTTTCTACCTGTACGGACTTTTGCCTCACCTTCTTGAGCTTTTCGCTTCTGGCAGCTGATCGCGCCTTATCGCGCCATTGTATTAGGTGAGGGGGGCCCTCCAATGCGCGGTGAGCGAACTATATGAACTATGCGACATGCAGTCAAGCACTGAAGAAGTCGACAGAAGCCGAAGAAACCGAAAGAGCCCAACCATGCCGGGACATGCCTTTAGCTTTTCTTCTGACAAGCTGTTCGGCTGTTCGGCTGTTCGTCTTCTTGTTTTGTCGTCTTGCCAGGCCACGACACCTCCAGTGCTTCCCGCGCTTCTCTGCCTCCTCAGCTGGCATGATCGAGGCATCGGAGGATTGTTGGCCGGAAGGGGCAGTCCGCGCAAAGCCATGTGGCTCAGCACATTTCGCGAGTCCGCCAGTGGTCTGCTGCAGGCCTGCAACCATCCCACTTTCTGCAGGAAGGTTTCAGCCTTACGTGTCGGAAGATGTCGGATGTCCTACTACACGGCACGCTGAGCGTGCAGGCGTGACTCAGGTGTGTATGTGCCGTGGGGTTGGTGCATGGCTTGTGTGGGCTTCCTGGTGGTGGCGACGCCGCATCCCTCGGCTTCCTGCTTCCCAACGCCGCGTCGTTGCTGCTCCGTGTCCGTCTTGGAGTCAGAGTGCTCTTGAGTTCGAGCTCCACTCTCAGGCGGCTGGCAGATGGCCATGCCGTGAAGAGGGCCCTGGCCCTCCTGGTGCTCTATGCACCCGCAGCGGCCGCGACCTTTTGAGTTTAAAATTTAAGAGATGTTTCTTTGAGCTCCGACACTTCGACACTTGCTCTCAGGTGGGCGTCTACATGGCCATGCAGCCAGATGCCAGCGAGCTCCGCCAAATCTTTGCCCACGTGCTCAGATGTGCTCAGATGTGCTCAGATGTGCTCTCCGGAAGATGCTGAGAGAAGTGCTCTGACCGGTGAGCAGCTGTGCCCTCTTCGCGTTTTCTTTTGCTGTTTCTGCTGCTTGGCTGCCGAGGCATCACCCTTGAGAGCAGTCGGCAGGATACTTGGCGCTTTTCATGTGCTGTGCGGCCGGGCTCTGCAACACTTCGTGTGCTGAGTCTTTCCGTTCATGCCCCAACAGCCTGTGTTGGACGATCCTTGATCAAATTGTTGGATTTCAGCATCCGAAACCAGAGCCTGAACGGGGACTTCGGCCTGACTCGCTAAGCCAGTCCTTAACATGCTAAGCCTCAAAACCGCGATGCCTGCGAAGGAACCCCTGCCACCCTCCACCCCCCAACAAAAGAATGTCCCTCTGCACCTTGTCGAGCTCTCAAGGCCTCATCATCATTGCCAGCGTCACCAGCATGATCGCCATTTGTGCTTTGCTGGGGATGGCTGCTGCCTTACAGTAAAAAGGTTGCACAAGGTGTGCCGCGTGTGCATTTGATTTGCTGCGTTCCACCATGGCTCGCAGTTGCCGGTGCTGTTCTTGGTCAAGACCTTTTTGCATTTTATTCGTTTGTTTGGCTTGGCAGTCGGTAGCGGCACAGTGGAAGCTCGAACACCTACGGTAATCTACGAATCTTTATACGAATGGAAAGCATTTGGATGGTATGGCAACCTCGACTTCAAGGATTTTCATGGTTTTGGATGTTTTGCGGGCTGGGGCTGTCCGGTGCTCGAGGCCGTCCGGTGCTCGCCCCGTTTTGCCACACGCAGCTTGGGACTCAGATTACAAGCCTCGTGAAAGGTCAAAAAGCCACTTCTCAATGGATTGAAATGTAGCGTGACTAGTGTTTGCGTAGGCTTAGGATTATGGCAATTCCTGTAAGGTGTTTTTCATGTCTTGCTCTCACTCTCTCTCTCTCTCTTTTTCTGGCGCTCTCGCTCTTTTCTTGATGTTCATCTCCCTCTCTGGCTCTCGGTCCTCACCGGCGCCGGGTGAGTCACCAGCCATGAGATTGAACTCAGATTGGCTTGTGCGTGCAGCAGCTCTGTGTTTAGCGATTCTCTTGGAATGCCTTGCACCTTTTCTCCACCTTTTGTCGCATGTTTCTTCTTTGAAGTAGGCACACGTTGGCTGTGCTAGAACGGTGTCAGGTTTGGCCTTCACCTTCGGCTTGCTCAGCTTGGTATGCTGCGGGCTTTCGAGGCGCAGGGCTTGTCAAAGTTCTCAGCAATTGCTGATCTAGAGTTGGCCCTGTCTGGCTGCTCTTCACAACTTGTGTGCACAGTTTCCATATGTTCAGTCGGCTCCTGCTCCATGTGAATGTGGCCACAGGGACTGCAGAGAGGCGGTCATGGGAGGATAAGCTGATAGTTTCTCTTGCTGTGCAGATGGCGCTGGCTTCTGGCAGTGGCACTAGTACTGCACTTCTTGGAGCTGGCAAGGCCCTCGAAAACCACGTCATGCTGTGTACGCCGTCGTGTATGCTGGGCGCAGCACTGTAGTAGTCTCCACTATTGGTACATGCTGCACGCGTTGTGGAAACCCCATGGATTTCGAGGCGTCGTGATGCGTTTCGGGGATGTGCGGGGACTTACGAGCAGGGCTTTTCAGGAGCCTCGGAAACGTTTCGAATAGATGTTTCTCAATAAACCAAGCCAAACCTCAGAGCTGGAACCGCACGGTGCAATGCCGACTCCGATGTGAACAAAGTTTGCAAGCATGCTGCGAACATCATTGCGTTTGCGAAGCAGTAGGACCCTCCAACAGCAGGCCCATCATGTCCACCTTCGGACACGAAATCCTTCGTCCAGTTTATCAAATGACAAAAGTGGCGTTGAATTCTCAAAACGACGTCCGATGAATTTCCACAGCAGACGTGCTATGATGCCGCCATGCCTGACATGCATGTAGGCATTGTAGCCACGATGCTATGCGCAGAGTTTGCCCAGAATTACAAAATGGTATACGAATGCCCTGCTCCTCGTGCGCCGGAAGTGTCTCAGACTTTTCTGAAGCCCGCTTTGAGCGCTCGATGCAGCAAGCAAATGTATGAGATTGTGCTGTGCGGCACTTCTGTTTGTCATCTTGGACAGGCAGCACCGCACCGCACTGGATCAGGCTTGGAGGGCCTCTGTGACTGTATCGCCAATCTAGTCTAGCCCGTTCGGCAGCATTACACAAGATGGCCGAACCCTACAAGACTTACCTGCGCCGGGAAACCGTGCACCACCATTAGGGTGGGTTAACCCGACAAGAGGAGCTGGGAAGTAGCCCCAAGCTCAGATCACGGATGTTGGGCAAGCGAAGGCCTTAGGAACTCCCCCGAATAGCCGGAGAGCAACAGCATGCCAACACAACGGGGGCAGATGTGGAAAACTCTCCTCTCGACAGAGACAGGGGACAGGGTTCGCAGTCTGTAGTGTTGGATAAATCGATAAATCCCAACCCAACGTGACCGGAGCGGTGCAGGATGGTCCATGCTAGTGAGTAGAGTCTCAAGCGACTACAACAGGAGCCACACGTGATCATTGTGATTCGTGGAGCGCAGGCGGCCTTGGCTGGACGAGTTGCAGAACTACCGTGGCACTTCTTGGGTGCACAGGCGGATCGGACCTTTAGGAAGGAGACCCAACTCGACTCACTTTCCAGGCGCTTTGGGACACCAGTCGCGTGTCATTCTTGAGCTACATCTGGAGGCAGTGCCAAGCATTGACACGCTAAAGGCAGTTGCTTGTCACTTTGCAATGCGCTGCGTTGCTTGAGCTCCAGCGTTGGAATTGCCCTCTGCAGGGCTACCGTGTGCAATCTGCAGAACGCCGGGGCCTTATACCACATATGCCTGTCAGACTATATCATGCAACGGAAGCAGAGTCGCTTTGGGACAGTTCTGTCTCTCAACATCATACTGGACCCAGGCTTTGAACAGCAAGGGTTTTGACATGGTGTCGCAGGTGATCACTTCCATACTTCCAGAAGAGCTTCGGGTCTACGCTTGCGAGGCTTGGGGGGCATTTCGTGCCTACATTGGGCTCTGGGCTTTTGACATTCTGACAAGGCGCCGGTTCCGTACTACGGAGAGAAGGTGCAAAGCTGAGCGAAGCGTGAAGATTGTGCTCTTCCCGGCCTTCCCTTCGTCCCCCTTTGGTACGGTCTCGTAGGGGTAGGAGCAACCCTACGCAACCAGTCCTAAAGCCAGCCCTCAAACCTTAGACTCTGCCATGAACGATAAGTAAACGCTAAAACCAGAAAATTCAAGACTCAGTCCCTCAAACCCCCGCACACAGAGGAAGGCAAAAGGCCACCCCATCCCAGCAAGCCAGACCCCACGCGGGATCGGGACTGGAGCACCTTTTCACCAGCCTTTCCTTCGAGCGCGTTTAGGATGAGCGAATAAGATTTCAGCCCCGTAAGGTTACAAAACTGCTCTTTAGGATTAGGGATCCCTCAAGCAAATCTCCAGCTTCGCATCGACAACCCATGAAAACATGTAGATCTTTGGGGGGGGGTACATATATATGGTTCCCCCTAAACCCTAAAACCCTAAACCCTAAACCTTAAACCCTAAACCCTAAACCCTAAACCCTAAGCCCCAAGCCCTAAACCCTAAACCCTAAACCTAACCCTCAACCCAAACCCACACCCCAACCACACCACCCCACAGGGCGGCCCAAACCACAGGGGGGCGGGGCGGGGACCCTAAACCCGAAACCCGAAACCCTAAACCCGAAACCCTAAACCCTAAACCCTTAAACCCTAAACCCAAACCCTAGACCCTAAACCCTCAACCCTAAACCCTAAACCCTCAACCCAAACCCCAACCACACCGCCCCACAGGGGGGCCCAAACCACAGAGGAAAGGGTTGGGGAAAGAATTTGGGGGGGGGGGGGGTTCATGGGGGGGGGCGAGGAGGTTTTGGGGGGGGGGGGGGGGGGGGGGGGGGGGGGGGGGGGGGGGGGCGGGGGCAGCGACGCTGCACCATATAGATATATACACACATACACATACGTATGTATATATATATATATAATATAATATAATAAGGTTTGGAGGTAAAATGAGTCCGCTGCGTTTTTGTTGCTTTCTCGCAGCGAACTCATTATACCCACACAACAAAAAAAACCAAAAACTGGAAAACCAAAAAAACCAAAACCAAAAAAACCAAAAAAACCAATTTTGGGGAACTCCTGGAAGTGGCTTATTATCAGCCCTTACATCGAAAAGTTCCTCAAAATTGGTTTTTTTGTTTTTTTTTGGTTTTTTTGGTTTTGTTTTTTTGGTTTTTCAGTTTTTGGTTTTTTGTTGGTTTTGGCTGTGTTTGGTTTTCCAGTTTTCGGCATCTCTATAGCCCTGCTGCAACCCCTAGGGGTGGCAGAGGAGCCTAAGCATGATTTGCAACATCATATAAGTCTTAATGAAATAATAATGAATTATTAATTCATTATTGATTAATAGTTTTTTTTTTATGGTTTACTATAATTTGATTATTAATTATTTGTTAATTTATTTATTTATTACTTATTAATTTGTTGATTAATTAGTAATTATGAATTAATTATTAATATTTAAGTAATTCATTAATCATTCATTAATCATGAAGTAATTAATTGTTAATTGATAATTAATTCAATTAATTCATTGACAAATAATTAAAGGACCGGATCACCCCACATGCAAATTTATCCATTGAGAAAGAGTAGAGAGGTGCGCGAGTAAGTGCGTGGGTAAGTGTGAGTGTGAATGTGTGTGTGTGTCTGTGTGTGTGTGTTGATCAGTAGAGACAGCTTGCTGAACATGTGCTTTCCCTAGGAGTGCAGGTAGATCGTCTGTGCATGTGCAGGTAGGAGGACCAGGTAGGCACGCGCTCAAGGTATCCGGAATCCTTAAACAGACATGTCATTGACTGTCCTCCCATGTTGCTGTCTGACCCCCTGTTTTGTTGTTTTCGCGTTTCTTGTTGCCTCCTGGTGTCGTTCCTGTTTTGTTGTCTCTGCCTCCTCTCTTGTTGCTGTTCATGACTGGCTTGCTGACACCTGCTTGCTTCTTCGCGTCCTTTCGCCCTTCGGGGCGTGTGTGTGTGTAAACGCCTGAACATGGTGATCGCTGTGACGGACTTTTCCATTTGCAGGGGGCAGTGACCCGCTCATAAGCTCACTGCCAATGAAGCTGCTTATGAGTTGGGAGGATATCCAGGCTGATCACCTGGACGTACCTGCATGTAGAGTGGGATACCACACTGCTTGTGACATCATGTACCCTGAAGTCCCGAGGCAGGCAACCATGCTCCTTTTCTTTCTTCCCTTCTTCTTGACTCCTCTTGAGTGTGTTGTGGGTCTGGTGGTTGGTACATGTTGGTACCGTGATCACTGCATCAGTTCATGCCAAGCCAAAGTGTGTGTGTGTGTCCGTGTGTGTGTGTCCGTGTGTCCGTGTGTCCGTGTGTCCGTGTGTCCGTGTGTCCGTGTGTCCGTGTGTCCGTGTGTCCGTGTGTCTCTGCTCGTGTATGTGTGTGTCCGTGTCTGTGTCCGTGTGTGTGTGTGTGTCTGTGTCTGTGTCTGTGTCTGTGTCTGTGTCTGTGTCTGTGTCTGTGTCTGTGTCTCTGTCTCTGTCTCTGTCTCTGTCTCTGTCTCTGTCTGCGTCTGCGTCTGTGTCTGTGGCTGTGTCTGTGTCTGTATCTCTCCGTGTGTGTGTGTGTGTCTCTGCGTGTGCGAGGTTGTCGACGAGAAAAGACAAAAACATCCCCGTGTCTTCACGCGCGCGGAACTCCGTTACCATGCTACTTGCGGTGTTTTCAAGCGCCCAGATGTCCGTTACCATGCTATTTGCGGTGTTTTTCAAGCGCCCAGATGTCCGTTACCGTGCTATTTGCGGTGTTTTCAAGCGCCCAGATGTCCGTTACCATGCTACTTGCGGTGTTTTCGAGCGCCCAGACGTCCGTCACCGTGCTATTTGCGGTGTTTTCAAGCGCCCAGATGTCTGTTACCATGCTATTTGCGGTGTTTTCAAGCGCCCAGATGTCCGTTACCATGCTATTTGCGGTGTTTTCAAGCGCCCAGATGTCCGTTACCATGATATTTGCGGTGTTTTCATGCGCCCAGATGTCCGTTACCATGCTATTTGCGGTGTTTTCATGCGCCCAGATGTCCGCTACCATGCTATTTGCGGTGTTTTTCAAGCGCCCAGATGTCCGTTACCATGCTATTTGCGGTGTTTTTCAAGCGCCCAGATGTCCGTTACCATGCTATTTGCGGTGTTTTCAAGCGCCCAGATGTCCGTTACCATGCTACTTGCGGTGTTTTCGAGCGCCCAGACGTCCGTCACCGTGCTATTTGCGGTGTTTTCAAGCACCCAGATGTCTGTTACCATGCTATTTGCGGTGTTTTCAAGCGCCCAGATGTCCGTTACCGTGCTATTTGCGGTGTTTTCAAGCGCCCAGATGTCCGTTAACATGATATTTGTTTGCGGTGTTTTCATGCGCCCAGATGTCCGTTACCATGCTATTTGCGGTGTTTTCATGCGCCCAGATGTCCGCTACCATGCTATTTGCGGTGTTTTTCAGGCGCCCAGATGTCCATTACCATGCTATGTGCGGTGTCTTCAGACGCCCAGGGCGTCCGCGGCGTACTACGTCTGTACTACAAAAAGTCGACTTTCCAGCCACGGAAGCTCCGCGTGTCCGCGGCGTACTACGTTTGTACTAGAAAAGTCGACTTTCCAGCCACGGAAGCTCCGGATGTCCCCGGCGTACTACTTAGAGGGTCGGTGCAGAGCGCGCAGATGTCCGTTACCATGCTATTTGCGGTGTTTTTCAAGCGCCCAGATGTCCGTTACCATGCTATTTGCGGTGTTTTCAAGCGCCCAGATGTCCGTTACCATGCTACTTGCGGTGTTTTCGAGCGCCCAGACGTCCGTCACCGTGCTATTTGCGGTGTTTTCAAGCGCCCAGATGTCTGTTACCATGCTATTTGCGGTGTTTTCAAGCACCCAGATGTCCGTTACCGTGCTAATTGCGGTGTTTCCAAGCGTTACCATGCTCTTTGCGCTGTTCTCAAGCGCCCAGACGTCGAGCGCCCAGATGTCCGTTACCGTGCTATTTGCGGTGTTTTCAAGCGGCCAGATGTCCGTTACCATGCTATTTGCGGCGTTTTCATGCGCCCAGATGTCCGTTACCGTGCTATTTGCGGTGTTTTCAAGCGCCCAGATGTCCGTTACCATGCTATTTGCGGTGTTTTCAAGCGCCCAGATGTCCGTTACCATGCTACTTGCGGTGTTTTCGAGCGCCCAGATGTCCGTCACCGTGCTATTTGCGGTGTTTTCAAGCGCCCAGATGTCTGTTACCATGCTATTTGCGGTGTTTTCAAGCGCCCAGATGTCCGTTACCATGCTATTTGCGGTGTTTTCAAGCGCCCAGATGTCCGTTACCATGATATTTGCTTGCGGTGTTTTCATGCGCCCAGATGTCCGTTACCATGCTATTTGCGGTGTTTTCATGCGCCCAGATGTCCGCTACCATGCTATTTGCGGCGTTTTTCAGGCGCCCAGATGTCCGTTACCATGCTATGTGCGGTGTCTTCAGACGCCCAGGGCGTCCGCGGCGTACTACGTCTGTACTACAAAAAGTCGACTTTCCAGCCACGGAAGCTCCGCGTGTCCGCGGCGTACTATTTGTACTAGAAAAGTCGACTTTCCAGCCACGGAAGAAGCTCCGGATGTCCCCGGCGTACTACTTAGAGGGTCGGTGCACAGTGCGCGCGCGGCAACGGCCCAGGGCCCCTAAGTGCCGCGCCTGCCAGCGCAAACAACACCTGTGTCGCGCCTGCCAGCGTTTCGCGAGCCCCCGAGCGCGCGCGCGGCAAGGGTCCAGGGCCCCTAAGTACCGCGCCTGCCAGCCCAAACGACGCCTGTGTCGCGCCTGCCAGCGTTTCCCGCGGCCCGACCGCGCGCGCGGCAAGAGTCCAGGGCCCCTAAGTACCGCGCCTGCCAGCCCAAACGACGCCTGTGTCGCGCCTGCCAGCGTTTCCCGCGGCCCGAGCGCGCGCGCGGCAAAGGTCCAGGGCCCCTAAGTACCGCGCCTGCCAGCAAAAACGACGCCTGTGTCGCGCCTGCCAGCGTTTCCCGCGGCCCGAGCGCGCGCGCGGCAAGGGTCCAGGGCCCCTAAGTACCGCGCCTGCCAGCAAAAACGACGCCTGTGTCGCGCCTGCCAGCGTTTCCCGCGGCCCGAGCGCGCGCGCGGCAAAGGTCCAGGGCCCCTAAGTACCGCGCCTGCCAGCCCAAACGACGCCTGTGTCGCGCCTGCCAGCGTTTCCCGCGGCCCGAGCGCGCGCGCGGCAAGGGTCCAAGGCCCCTCAGTACCGCGCCTGCCAGCAGAAACGACGCCTGTGTCGCGCCTGCCAGCGTTTCCCGCGGCCCGAGCGCGCGGTCGGCAAAGGTCCAGGGCCCCTAAGTACCGCGCCTGCCAGCCCAAACGACGCCTGTGTCGCGCCTGCCAGGGTTTCCCGCGGCCCGAGCGCGCGCGCGGCAAGGGTCCAAGGCCCCTCAGTACCGCGCCTGCCAGCGTTTCCCGCGCCCCGAGCGCGCGCGCGCGGCAAAGGTCCAGGGCCCCTAAGTACCGCGCCTGCCAGCCCAAACGACGCTTGTGTCCCGCGGCCCGAGTGCGCGCGCGGCAAGGGTCCAGGGCCCCTAAGTACCGCGCCTGCCAGCAAAAACGACGCCTGTGTCGCGCCTGCCAGCGTTTCCCGCGGCCCGAGCGCGCGCGCGGCAAAGGTCCAGGGCCCCTAAGTACCGCGCCTGCCAGCCCAAACGACGCCTGTGTCGCGCCTGCCAGCGTTTCCCGCGGCCCGAGCGCGCGCGCGGCAAGAGTCCAGGGCCTCTAAGTACCGCGCCTGTCAGCGCAAACGACGCCTGTGTCGCGCCTGCCAGCGTTTCCCGCGCCCCAAGCGTGCGCGCGGCAAAGGTCCACGGTGTGTCGCGCCTGCCAGCGTTTCCCGCGGCCCGAGCGCGCGCGCGGCAAGGGTCCAGGGCCCCTACGTACCGCGCCTGCCAGCAAAAACGACGCCTGTGTCGCGCCTGCCAGCGTTTCCCGCGGCCCGAGCGCGCGCGCGGCAAAGGTCCAGGGCCCCTAAGTACCGCGCCTGCCAGCCCAAACGACGCCTGTGTCGCGCCTGCCAGCGTTTCCCGCGGCCCGAGCGCGCGCGCGGCAAGGGTCCAAGGCCCCTCAGTACCGCGCCTGCCAGCAGAAACGACACTGCGTCATGTGCGTGATGTGATGCGTGATGTGCGTGATCGTGATGTGATGCATGATGCGTGCTCTGCGTGATGGTGCATCATGAGGAACAGGAAGACGAGGACGGGGAGGCGGAGGACGAGGAGGAGGGAAGCGGAGGAGGAGAAGGAGGAGAAGGAGGAGGAGAAGGAGGAGGAGAAGGAGGAGGAGAAGGAGGAGGAGGCGGAGGCGGGACAGCCCCAAAAGTAAGAACCCCACACAAAGATGTGGGGAATTAACAATTAATGCGCTGGCCAGTAGCGATAACCTTAAAACTTAAAATCGAAACCTTAAATTCTAACCTTTAAACCTTAAACCGTAATTTCCTAAGCCTTATCCTTACACCGTAAACCCTAACCTAAACCCATTAGTTATTAACTGCTTAATTATTAGTTATGAATTATCAATTAACAATTAATTGTTTATTAATTAGTTATTAAATAATGAAAACTAAGTATTAATTATTTACTATTTAATGATTGACTAGTTCTTAATTATTAATTATCAACTAAGTATTAATTATTAACTAATTATTAATTGATTATTAATTAATTATATTTCAATTATGAATTAATTTTAATTCAGTACTTTTAAATAATTAATAATTAATTATTAATTAATTATGAATAAATTATCATTCAATATTCATTAATGATTCATCATTAATAGTATGAATTAATTTATTAATTGATGATTAGTTAATTATTAAGTGGTTACGTAATAATTATCAATTGATTTATTATTAATTAATTATTAAATGTGAACTAATTATGAATTCTTAATTAATTCATTATTCATTATTCATTAATTATTAATGATTAATTATTACTTATTACTTATTAATTATTTTTTATTAATTATTAATCATTATTATTTAAGTACTAATTATTTATTAACTAATTTCCACGATTTTCCACGATTAATTAATTGATAATTTCTTATTGATGAATAATTTTTTTAATTATAAAATCATTTTGTCGTTATTAATTAATTATTCATTAAGTATTAATTATTAATTAATTAATTATTATTTCATTAATTATTACATAATTACTTCCTCGTCGAAGGTGAGTGTCCCATCCAGCCCACCCTCATCCCCTACAAAACTTGCCATGGCAAGCCTCTTTTGCTACGACAAAATAGTCGAAATACTTCGAGCACATATAACTATGGCACAAGTGAGCATAGATTCAAGATGCGGAAGACATATTTGCATGCCAAGTGAAAGAGAAAGCAACAAAAACGCAGCGGACTCATTTTACCTCCAAACCTATAATATAATATAATATTATATTATATATTATATATATAATAAATAAATATAAATAAATATATATATATATATATATATCGATATATATATATATATATACACATACATACATACACATATGTGTATGTATGCTTGTGTGTCTGTATATGTATGTATATATATATATATATGTATATTCGCTTGTTTATACACCTTAATGTACGGGTGCTGCAAAGACAAGGAATGTGATGGTTCCGATCATGCTTGTCTTGTGCATTCAGGTGGCCATGGGCCTGGCAGCGCAGTATATTCCGCCCAAGGCTGCTTCAGTTGATCAACATGAACCGGCTAAGCGGATCAAGGTGCTTGATCCAATAGTTGTCACTATTTCATCTCCTCGCATTTGATCTGCCCCGCTTGTGTCCCGATCCACTTCCACGAGTGAAGGCCCGTGGAAAGGACCGTCGCAGGCCCAATTTCTTCGTCTGCAACGTCGGTGCCGCCCTTACGGATCACAGCCAAATGTAATTTATTGATCGAGTTGAAGCCAGCGCTGCGGAGCCGATCCCATCGACGTACTAGAAGCTTTACGCAGAACATATTTGGATATGCAGCATTGACTCAACTTGAACTTAGTGCCGTGCTGGCCGGCTTGGACAAGTATGTTGGACTGGAGTCCTTGTCAAAAGTTCTTGATACCCCTACGCAACCACAACCGAAAATCATTACATCTTGTACATATCAATTGTGAAGGTGGAACGATTTGGAGTGGGAGGTCTATTGTTTTAAAGGTTTGGTTTTTTAGTATTTTTTGGGAGTTTTTTTTGTTTTGTCCTTGCTACTGGTACAACTACTACTACCCTATACCCTAAACCCTAAACCCTAAACCCTCAACCCTAAACCCTAAACCCTCAACCCTCAACCCTCAACCCTCAACCCTCAACCCTAAACCCTAAACCCTAAACCCCTAAACCCCTAAACCCCTAAACCCTAACCCCTAAACCCTAAACCCTAAACCTTAAACCCTAAACCCTAAACCCTAAAAAACTCCCAAAAAAAACCAAAATACCCTAATTTAATTCTCCGGCCCTCCGGCCCATATGGAGTGGGAGTAAGTTCACAAGTGATAGCAAGGATCGGGGCGTGGAATCTGAGTTGGAGATGGAATAGTGGGCTGCAGTGGGCATAGATGCACTATACTCTACGAATCCCCCGACAAGAGCTTCCTCGGGCTTAAGGGAGTGAGAAGTGACAGTGAGCGGCAAGTCCAAGAACAAGTCCGGGTATTGCGAAGGTCAGATCGTGGAGTCCTGCATGACGGATCTGCAGCCAGGTCCTCGAAGCCGGTTGCGGCTGTTTGGGATCTTGCCGAGGTCATCCCAGGTCCATTTCGGAGGGCGTATCCGGTAATGAGTTGGTATCAGGGTTGATCACTGAAAGGCACACCATGAACACGCTCGTCGACGTGCCGATCTCAGTCACAGGGTTTGTGGCATCATCAGGTCAAAGACATTCCTGACGGCGTTCAGTTGCATGCAATTGCAGAAGCTTCTTCGTCCAGTCGCCTCGGCAAACTCTCAGCTTCGTGTGGGGCAATATCGCTTGAAGCCAGAACTGCAGCAGCCGTGTAGGGGAGTCAGACAAGTGCATATCTGTGAATATGGGAGCTCGAAACAGGCACGACCAGATTGGTGAGATTTTGCGAGCTGCCACTTCTAGATTTTTGTGATGATTTTTGATTCTGACACTGCATGCATGCATGCGTCTCCGCACGCATGCAAAAAAACACGCGCGTGTGCATTCTTCTATCAACGCATGTTTGCATGTTTGCGTGTTTGCTTGCCATGCATGAAGCATGCCTTTGCATGTGTTGTTTGCCTGCGCGCGTGCGTCTGAGCTGGAATGCTTGGTGTGGTTGTCTAAGGTGTGGGGAGAGTTCCATGACCCTACGCTTCCAGGTCTCTGTGCAAATGCCACCTGACAGACAGTTGTTCAGTGCGCCGCGATCAGTGCCCTTGTCCTGTTGCCCAGGTTGTCATGGTATTCCCCAGCTCTGATCAGGGGTGGGCCAAGGCGGACATGTGCCTGGCAGTGTGTGAAATCGGCCTTGAGCTGAGTTATGTTGCACCATTCTCCAGGAGATCAACCTGTCTGTCTGGGAGTCAGGGAAGGCTTCTGCAGCGAGCGTTCTTTCATTTTACATCGCATTGCTGTCACTTTGCTTTTGGTGTCGCTCGTTGAGCTTGCCAGGATGCCTTTGACTGGTACGTGAAGAGCAAGGCCAGCTGTGCTTGGCAAAGTGCTGTGCTAGTCGGCGTGCCAGCAGGGCACATGTTAAAGCACAGGAAAATCAACAGAACACTCAGAAGACTCTTCTCTCTCGCTTCGCGCGTCTGCCTCGGCCGCATATGGAACCATCTGGAATGTGGAATCTGAAGTGCTGACGTGCTGAGGAGGCACGCTTGCCATCGACTCGCATCACAGCAAAGCTTTGAGGGAAAATATCGTACTTTCTCACGAAAGAGCATTGGGTTAACGATTAGATCGATGAGGGTCACTCTCCGGGTTTTTGTATACACCCCGAATGACTCGCGGAAGAACTTTGGGGTCTAGACAATGAGATTAAACCTCGAGTTCCTTGAGCCCTAAGCCTGTTTTGAGATTTGAGGGGTAAAGGGTTTGATGTGCATGATCAAAGAGAGTCATTTGACCCGAATGGCGTTCGCATGCGCAATGAAAAGTTCTTTCTTGCACAGTCAAGGCACGTCTCTGCAGCCCAAACTCTAGCAAAAACACTGAACTCCAATTGACGTTCCTGAGCTTGGCACACAGCTGGGAGGGGTCCAGGGTTCACCCAAAAATTGAATTCTCAACCCCAGCCCCTAAACTCTCAGCTCGCGGTCTGTGATTGTGAATGGCTGATGTATCATTGTGGTCCCGGGGTGAGCCCGAAACAATTCTGAGCTTTTGTCCCCTGAAAGATACGGGAGACGATGTCTTTGAAACGCCCTTGACAAGTAGGGTTTAGAGTTGAGCCATGGATCTAGCAAAAGGACAATGGCAGCGTAACTAGGGCTTCAATCCTACTTCTGTCAGGGGCACAAGAAAGCCCTGCTTGGCACTCAGCTTCAGTTTGATTCGGTCGTCGCAGGATTACATCATCTGAAATCGTGGTTGCATGGCATATTCGGAGTCCCGATTATTCATCAGCAAAGCCTTGTGAAGGATGGAGCACACATCCGGCATCCTTCGTACGTTTGGCAACCTTTTGGCTTCTCTTGAACCTGTGGAGCCAATCAAATATCAGGACGCTGCTGTGGGCACGTAGCGTCTGCGTGCTCGGATGGTCATTTAGCACCGTCATTCTGGTAGCTGCCGTTCGACCCCCTGTGGGACGTTCTCTCGTGCACGTGCTGGTACCAGGACAGATGTCGACGATGTGGGCGGACAGTCGAGGTCGCTCTGCATGGGACGCGGACAGAACTCACTCATAGCACGACGGAAGCCTGCAAACTGCCTGCAAACTGCCTGCAAAGCATGTGCAGTCTTTTAGTTTGGCATGTTCCTTTGGACAGAGGCCTCTGCGGGCCAGCCTGCGCACCCGGCCTGCCTGGTTTGCGGTGCCAGCACCTTCCGTGTCACAGCTGCATGGAGTATTCGAACCGCGCCCATTGCGGTGGAGATGCAATAGAAGTGTGACGAAGACGCAGCACAGAAAGATCAGCCAAGGCTACAACCTCTTCTGAATTCGCAGGCTGTTTCCCCCAGAAAAAAACAGAGCAGGTCTGCATTGTCAGCTGGCGGAGCCGTTCATGCTCGCACGGGCTCGTGCAGAGACCTGAGGGCCTGAAAGGTGCCAAGGCGCACCCCGGTCTGAGCGGTCTGGGGGCTTGAATGCAAAAAAGGTGTTGCTTGGCAAGGTTTGACAATGTTTGATAGTGTTTGACAATCTTTGACAATGTTTGACAATGTTTGACAATGTCTGGCTTTGGCAATGTAGGTGTGACTTCGGAGGCTCGAAGTGAGGGAAATTTTCCCGGTGACGATCCTCGAGTGCTTCGCTTGAGCTCATGGCAGAATCGACCAATGGCGATGGCGATGGCACCCGCAGAGTCCCCGGATTCTCCTGCGCCGCCGCCACGACGGGCCTTGCTCCTGCTGCCTAGGAGGCGCCGTCTGAATTTCATACAGGTTGAGTTACACGCGGCATTTTTGCCAAGTGATTAGTTTTTCCTTACGTAAGCCTTCAGGCGTCCACCGTTCGAGGGTGCAGTCCTTGCTGCTGCATCTTGGCTTTGCTGTGGCTCCGGTGGACGAAAGTCTTTGTTGGACTGATGGTTTGGGACAATGTCTTCGGCGAGCTTCACACTTGTTTGGGCTTCGGATCCTCAAGTGTGTAGCTCTGTGTGTGAGTGTGTGTACAGACTGAACATGGCATACAGAAGCACAGATGCATCTGCTTTGGTCGCCAGCCCACCGAGAAGGTCCTTTGCGAGTCTTGAGGCTTTGGGGATGCCTTGCATGGGGACGTGACCCATATCCACAAAGTCGAGTGCATTTCAGCCACTCGTTCGTCTCATTGGGCGCGCAGGGGACCAAGCAGTGGGGAGGGATGGGGAGGGTCCTGGTCAACGGCTGGGTAGCTGGGGGGAGCGCACTTCATTCACCTTCATCTCACTTAGTTATCCTTCCTGGTCTGGTGCGACAGGGCTGGCATCACTCCATCCGCTTTTCACTTGTGCCATTCCCGATGTCTGGCGCAAGGTGGGACTAAACTTGTCACCCCATCACTTTTCGCTATTGCCAAACCACTACCCACCAGTACCCACTGTCCCCACCAATACCCATAAATTACCCACCAACCCACCAGCGCCACCATCGCCCACCAACACACACCAATCCCCAGCATCACCCCACCATGCCACTAGCCACTTTTCCACTGTTACCGACCACTACCCACCATTGCCCAGAATCACCCGCCAAGAAGAAACATCCGCACATAGTAAGCGGACGCGCCAATGTGTAAAACAACCGCACATCGAGCGAGCCATTAAGCAGAACAACCGCGCACCAGCGAAGAAGCACACTAAGCAAAATATAGCAAGCGAAAGCGCGCCAATAAACAAAACAAGCACGCAGCAAGTGAAAACACACCAGTAAGCAAAGCGAAGAAGGTTCGGCTTCGCTGGCAGGGCTGCAGCGATGCTTCAATATGGGATGGAAATCCATGCACCGGGAAAATGTCTCAACAAAAACGGTGCCGATTGCTGATGCATTAAATTATGGAAGCAAATGTCCAACTCACAAGAAGGTAGTTATCCAACTCACAAGACATGTGGGTCCCTCATTGCAAACATTGAAAAGCAAATGGTCGAAGTCCTGAGGTGGTTGTGACATGGGGAGTGCCAGCACACGGCGATGCCACTCATGAAAAACAAAAGGATATCGTGATTAAAGAACACTTCTCAAGAGGCGATCGCAGATGCGGCATTCTCACATGACCGCGGGAGGCCATCATTTGTACTCCGTGTACAATGCACTGTGGTTTGCACGACTGTAACTCTAAAACAACTGTTTCCGTGGCAGATCCGAAAGACAGGGTGCATGACATGAATCTTGCGAGTGCAAACGCATGCATGAAGGTTTTACCCTGGGTCGTTCATATGTGCTTGTCTTTGCGTGAGTGCGCGTGAATGTGCGTGCGTGTGTGCGCATGGCGGTGCCGCGGTGCTGTGTTGTGGAACATTGCTGACATTGTCGTTCAGGTTGTGGCTGCGGCTCCTCCTGTTCTCCAACGAGCTCGGCCTTTTGTGACGGAAACCTTCAAGTCGAAGAGTGCTCGGGCGGCTGACTTCAGGTTCACTCATGTGATGCGGCATTCCATGAAGCAACTGCCGTCACTGATGATGTCAACTGCAAATCTCAGGATGTAAGGAGCTTCCTGTGGGGGCCGCTTGCCTGGTGCTTTTTCCAGACACGGAAAGGGAGGTGCCAATGGCATGGCCATAAAGCGATATCCAAGGCTTGGGGTTGTCCTGGATTGTCAGGCCGACACGGCTCCTGTCCAGAAGCTGAGCCGCATCCACGACATCCTCCAGCAAGGTGATCAGCTGCTGGGAGGCGCGGACGAGGCCGCTGCATGCCCAGTATACCCAACATGCCCAATGTTATCCTTTGAACTACAGACTCCATGAAAGCAGGGAGAAGGTTGCCACAGGTTGCCGCAGGTTGCCACCGTTCTTGTCTTGTGCAGGCAGAGATGGAGGCGCTTCGTCTCAGCCAACGCCTGAGGCCAGTAGCATGCCCTTGCAGAAGTGCGAATGGTGAAGACCTGATGAGACACAAGCACAGGAGTTGCAAGGACGATCCAGCACGCCTGGGACCTGGTGTGGGGCGCCTGAGCCTGGCCCCCCAGCACCTCTCGCACAGTGTCGCGTGTTGAAGTGGGGCCAAGGAGGCCAAGATGAAGTGTTGCTGTTTCATTGCTTTCACGGCCGCGCCTGTCGTGGCTGAGGTGCCTGGCTGAAAGAGAGGACATCACAGGGCCGACGCTTTTTGGGTGGAGACAGGCCCTTCTGTTTTGATGTCTCCGTTTTTTTTTGTTGGCTTGTTTCTTTTTGCAGTGCAGGCTTCAGTGCAGGGCTGCGGCGTCATGTGTGGGGTGGCTTCTGTGTGCGTTGGCAAATCGAAAGCTATCATAGAGGGAGCAAGAGCATCTCGGGCCGTGCAACACTTGTGATTCTGGCATGCAAGCTCGAAGCCTTGAAGCTGCGCTCGGCGCAGACCCGGGGCTGAGGCGAAGTCTAAGCTGAGTTTCAACTTTAAACCCTAAACCCATCTAACCCTCTCACAGATGCATGAGATCATGGTTTTCTCTAAGCTTTCTTCTGGTTTCTTTTGCCGCGTGAACAGCATAGGGTTTTACGCACCAGTGCAAACGGACCAAGATGCGGAAAGATGTAGCAACTCAACTTCGCATATGCAACCTTGCTATCTGTGATAATCTGTGGTTCCCAAATGCCTTAATCTCAATACTCTTTATTCGTTTCCTTTGCCGGCCACCTCTCGACCTCAACACCTTGAAGTTCTTGATATCGCCCCAGAAGCTGTCAACGTGCAAAAAGCCTGCCTCTTTGTTTGAATGCGGAGACTCAGAGCTTGAGCTTCTTCGATGCCTGCCGGATGACATCTTTCAGATCTTCCGTGCGTGTGGACTGGCAGGCTTTCCTTACGAAGTGATGTTGCCCTTGTCGGTGCTTTGCTCACATCTCGCATCTTGGTCGCATCAGAATCCTGTTTCAGAGAGGGGGTCTTATTGAGTCTTGTCACATCTGCACAACGTTGAAGGCTCCTGGTGCCGCCGCCTAGCCAGAACCTCGCTGCAAAAGCTCCAAGCTTCCAAGCAGCCGCTGAAAGGCGGGAAGTGCTTTGTGAAATTTTGCTTTGTGAAATCCTGCTAGATGCTGTAAAGATTCGTACGCCGCGAGGGACGGACTTGGTTTTGAAGTGGATGCTCACCGTGTTGAACGAGGAGCCTTGCCAACAGGCCTTCGTGCATTCCTCGAAGTCATATTCAGCACCTGAAGAAGCTAAGTTTCTAGGTCCGACCAAGTCCTGCAAAAAATTGCTTGATGCATAGCCGTGCTCTGTCCAGGATGAAGGACAAGCGATCTAGATTCTGGGGAAAAAAACAAGGGAGCAGAGCTGAAGTGCACAGGGGCATCCAATCTTGCGACAGGGAGAGCTGAGGCTTGTTCGGAAGCAGGGTCGCTGAGCAACTGCTTTTCCCCATTGCTTAGCGACCTATACTTTCCATCGCTTGGTCACGTGTTTTTGTCAGTGAGCGCGTGTAAGCATGCTACCAGAGTTGACCAAACAGTCTGATTCTACAACGATAGAACTATATAATGCAAACCCTAAACCTTGTACCCGAACCCGAAAAGCCTAAATCCCGAAAGCCCCAAACCCTCAAACCCTAAACCTAAGCCCTAAACCCTAAGTTTCTAAGTCCTACAAAGCCAAAACAGTCCCGGGCCTCAAGCCCGACACCCCAACCCTGAAGCCCTAAATCCAAAAAACCAACCTAAGCCCTAAATACCCCCTAAGCCTTAACAAGCCCAAGCCCTCCTTAAATCCCGAAAGCCTTAAATCCAAAAAGCCCCAAACCCTCCATAGACCGTAAACCCTAAACCCAAACCCCAAAAAAAGGAAGATCCTAAACCCTAAAACGCGCTAAGCCCTAAAGCCCTAAATCCCAAAAGCGCAAAACCCTAAAAGCCCCAAACCCTAATCCAAAACTCTGAAAGCACGGGAGCGAAAGCCTGAAATCCAAGTCCGGAAAATCATGCACCCTATAAGCCCCTAAGCCCTCAAGGCCTCAAATCTTATCCAGAAACCCTAAACCTAAAACCCAAGAACCCTAAGCCCTAAAAAAGCCTAAGCCCCAAAACCTGAACCTCAACCTTAAACCCTACTTCCCAAACAACCTACCCTAAATACAAAGTCCCTAACCTAAAGCCCTAAAGCCAAACCCTAAAACCCCAAATCCCAAGGCACTTAAACCTAGTAATCCTAAAGGTGGGCCAGGTGATTGTTGAAAACGGGTTGCCATGTGAACACAAAGGTTACTCAGCGATGGTGGTGCCGGAGTTCGAAAGACTCCGGGAAACGGGGGCTTTCAGTAGCCTGCACCAGACAGTCAGTCTACGACGACAGCTTGGGTGTCAACACTGCATCCGTATATCTTTAGTAAGAAACCGTGGTCGTGCCATTCTGTCAGGCACTGCGGGCAGCGCGGGATTTCGAAGCAGCTTCCTGGCCCTGGCAGGACGAGGCCAGACTTCAGTTCCTTGAGAACGCTCTCAGCTGCGGAGCATGTGCGCAGCTGTTCCACTGTCTCCACTGTCGTGCAACGTCGTGCCATACGCGCTGTGCCAGACGCTTCCTCCGGAGCTTTGCGACTTCCTTCGTGGCCTTGAGGTGCCCGAGCCCCTCTGTGCTGAGGACTGGTGTAGCTGCGCAGCGTAGAGCAGGTAAATGCAACACAGGGCCTCGGCTTCTTTCCTTCCTGTCTGGGGTCGTTCCTTCAGGCCCCGGGCTCTTTCCTTTCAGGTTCCAGTCCCCCATTGGCCGCCCTAGGTTTGACTCACTTTCGTTCCGCCCTCAGAAGTAGGAGTTGGCCTTGCGAGGAGCTGTTGTCGCCCTCGGAGCGATCGAAGCTGGCAGAGGATTGCCCGTGTCTCCACCGATGAGCTGTGTCGCAACATGTCGCAGCACCATAGTACTATGCCCATCTATGCCCCGTATTCAAGCAAGCTTTTTTGCGGTGGTGTCATGCCGTGCCTCTGCAGGAGCAGCGCCAGGCTGAACTTGCCCCGCAGCTGCACTCGCTTGCATGAAGTGCACTCAGTGCACTTTGCATATTTCTGGCCACGGGTCAGGAGGACATCCTCCTGCGACTGCTATGATTGCCATGACTGCAGGCTGCCATTCCTCTTGTGAAGGCAGTGCAGCAGGGAAATGTTGAGGCGCGCGCGAGCATCTGAGGACGTGTGATAGAAGTTTTCGCGACATTTCGCTGCGTTTCGGTATCAGAGATGCGAGGCGGTCCGCAGCCTCCTGGCAGCGGGTGTGATGCTTTGGCTGCAGCGCATTCTCGTTGGAAAGGATCTGCAAGCAGTCTCAAGTGATAAGGAGCGTCGATGCAAAGTTCCGGACGAAGCACCACGAAGTGCGACTGGAGACATGCTTGATTCACTCCTTCGCGAACTGTTTCGGTTCGCAGGTTGTAAGGCTTGTAGGGGCAAAATCATGAGGAGCACATCGCCTGCGCCGTGGGAGTGTCTCGTCCGAAGTGCCGCGAAAGTGACGACGATCACCCTGCCAAGCTCATTGTCGTGGGCTGAGCCCCTCTATGTTCGATTAGACAGCAGAGAAAGAGCAGCCCCCACCAGATGAAACAATGCGCAAAGCCGCGGAGGCTCGTGACCTAAATCTCCAACTCTTTCCCGAGCGAGATCCTGATGTGGAGGCGAAGGGTATCGAAATTCTACGCCCTTGACTCAGTGAGATGTGGATGTCTCACACGGACATGGGAATTACAAGTCCGCTCAATGTCTCTGAAGCTCGTCTTGGACCCATCGCAAGGCCTACTCATTGAGCACCGTGGATCGCTGGAGGCCGTGGGGGCCGTGGGGGCCGTGGGGGCCGTGCCGTGGGGTCGTGGGGTCGTGAGGGCCGTGGGCCGTGGATTGCAGCAAGAGGAAGGAAGGACATGCATAGAGGAGAAAGGCTCAGAAAGGCGAGAGGAGCAAGAAAAGAAGTGGACAGCGATCGTTGTAACATGGGGCTTTGCCAAAGGCATTGGATTCTGATGGCGGCACTCCGGCCTTCTACGCGGCCATGGCAGGTGCGATGGCGCTCAGTACATGAGAAGCTGAAGAAAACAAGCTGTTCCCTTCCGAGGAAATGTGCGATGCTTCGAGTACATGCTCCAGACTGGAGGTGAAAAGGTGTTCCACCACCAGGACTCTGCGTGCCAAGTGCATTGATTACATGCTCCGCATCGTCTTTGCTTGCATGTGACAACCTGTGATGAGCTGATTCGCGAGCAGAGGATTACTTGGATCGATATCCACTCTACTGGGCGACATCAAACGACCAGCCAGCAGCCGTTCGTTGGCTGCTGCAACACACCACTTTGCCCGTTGAAGCTTTGCTTGCCCAGAGTGAAGTGAGATGCGCAGTGGAATTCAGTTTGCCTGCTGCGACATGTCAAAGCCTGCGGCCTCATGCGAGCGAGGATGCCCGCAGCCGACATGGGCGTACTGCACTCGCCAAGGCATTCGCCCTGTCGTGTTGTCGTGTTGTCGTGTTGTCTCTAAACTTCTAAACCCTAAACCCTAACCCCTAACCCCTAAACCCTAACCCCTAAACCCTAAACCCTAAACCCTCAACCCTCAACCCTCAACCCTCATCCCTCATCCCTCAACCCTCAATCCTCAACCCTCAACCCTAAACCCTAAACGCTCCAGACCAAATAAATAGAAATTGTACGTGGTATCATTCTGAATTTTCAAGATATTTGTCTAAACAGCTGACATACAGAGTTTAAGCAAATTAATCCACAGCAAATTAATCCACAGCGCCTGGGAGGCCAAATGCTCAATTTACTTAAAGCTCTGCGGCCTTCCCAACTTAGACTGCACATCAAGCCGAAAGGCAGGCCCCTTAAACCCCCCCAAACCCCCCCAAACCCCCCCAAACCCCCCCAACCCCCCCCCAAACCCCCCCCAAAACCCACCTCCCCAAAACCCCCCCCAAACCCCCCAAAAACCCTCCGAACCCACCCCCAAAACCCCCCCAAAACCCCAAAAAACCTCCCCAACAACGCCCCCAAACCAAAACCCCCCCCTCCCCCCCCCAAAAAAAAACCCCCAAACCCCCCCCCCAAACCCCACAATGGGAGGCCCAAAAAGGTCACAAAAGGCCCCAAGGCCCCAAATCAGGTCCCGGGCCTTCCGCAAAGCTCGCCCCTGCACACCCAGCGCCCCGCAACTTTCGCTCAAAACTTTCGGTCAAAACGTTTCGGTCAAAACGTTATTGGGACCCAAACCCTATACAATTTCTATAAACCCTAAACTCGACAGCCTTGCGCTGTGTGATGTGCCTGAGGCTGCGTGGTCGGACTCTCCGGACATCGCTGTGCCGAGGTGGCAAGGCATAGGCTGACCGCAGTGGACCCTGCAAAACAGGGTCGCTTGTGGGTTTTGTTTAGGCCTAAAGGAACATGCCGAAACATACCGAGGCATTGCTTTTTGATGCCTACCAGTTCTCTGTGCTGGCTTCAAAAGCTTTGAGAATAGCTTCGACATAATCGAGCCATAGTTGGTCAGTCGCATATGGGGTAGTATATTTGTTATTCATTGTTTGGTAGAACGTCGTTTTTGCTAAGATCTATTGCCGTATCAGGTCCTCGCTGGTGTTCTGTGTTTGTCGAATATTGTGCGGCGTAGTTGTGAAATATGGCCGGTCTTTGCCAGCATTTTTCGACATGAAGAAGTGCAATATTGATATCGCGTCTGGGGACAAAGGTCTGCTCACAACGGTCTCCGAACCTCTTTCTCTCAGGCGATGCTGCTGGAGAAAAGGGCGGATCCACGGATCGTCGACGATCACCAGCGCACGGCAACCCTTCTCAAGGAGATTTGAATTTCTACACGCACCAGAATTTGCCACGCGGGTGTTGCATGAGATGCTGCGACTGCTTAAGACCAAGGGCACCTTCAGCGACGCGGAACATGACACAGTACGACGCACACACACACACACATACACACAATCACGCCACACAGAGCCCCTTTATGATCTGAGATGGTCGGTTGTCCGCCCACGATGCTGGAGGTTGTGCACATGGCATCTTGGGGTACCTGGGGTGGTCGCCGCGGCGGGAAGTTTGTGAATGGCCGCCTGCCAGCATGGTGCCGTGTGCAGACCCAGTTCTAGATGTTCTAGATTTCAGTAAGCGGACATTTGCTTTAGTTGAAGCTCAGGCACCGGTTCTACGAGGAAGTTCTAGTTTCAGAGCGAGGGGAGAATTGACTCAGTCGACTAGGATTTCCACGCCTTACTCCTCGGGGGTGTCGTTGAGCTCGTAATGCGAAAGGGCCTCGACGAAAGGGTGCGAGATAGTTCGGCAATCACACATCAACCAGCACTCAGGCTATGGAAGTGCAGCGGCCTTGCATAAACGCTTCATCTTTAGACAATTTCAGGACTGCACATTTGCTCCGGAAATCTTAGCACACTTGATGCGTGGGTGATCCAGAAAATCTTAGCACACTTGATGCATGGGTAGGGTATAGGCGCGTATCATTTTTTGTTTTTCTAAAGGCCGCGCAGCGGGCGCCAGCCCGCGATGCTTGCAGCTTCTGCTGGCCACGGAGGAGGCAGATCTGGCAGTTCGTCCATCGTGGCTTCAATTGAGTTCCTTCTGCTTGAAGCGTGACGCATTGGGGGTCGGGCTCTACGAGCATGACGGGAACAAACCATTGGATGCTGTCACCTTCTTTCCAACATCTTCCAACCGGCTCCAATCAATGGACACAATCTCACTTGCGTTACGCATAGAGTGTGTGCTGGCTGGATGAAGTCCCAGCAAGAAGTTCTGGCCAGGGCCGCCTTTGCATGCACGTTGCCGACCGTGATGGGGGCACGCCGATAGCGATTGCGTCAGCTACTGGAGCACTGGATGCCTTGGAGGACTTTTGCTGCAATTTGCGTGGCTGCGTCCTGTGGCACCTTGTGAGCGCTAGCAAAGCTCCGTGTGATCTCGGCCACCGAAGTCCTACCAGTAGGACACTTCAGGCAAATGAGCATGCTTAAGATATGCTTAAGCATGCTTGAAAACTCACAGTTGAGAGCAAGAGACTCGATGCTACTCGTAGCCGGAGGGCAGCGCCGCGCAGAGCAGATCGGAGCCTTGTCAGGAGCTCCTCCGTTGCCCAGAAGGGCTCAGGTGGGCTAGCTGTGCTTGAAATGATGTGAGAGTATGCGAAATGTGAGATAATGTGTGATGACATGTGTGATGACATGTGTGATGACATGTGTGATGATGGGTGCCGGCAGAGGTCTTGCCTGACCTTTCTGGCCTTGCACCTGATGTGCGTTGCCTCCAGGCAAGTCCGTGATCCTCCTCCGGAGCTGCAGGAGACAGCACTTAACTGAGGGAGTGGCAGAGAGCCGTCAAAGTTGTGTGAGAGAGGTTGTTTTTGTTTATCATTGAAGTTGCTCTGTGTCGCAAAATGTGGCAAGCAGTGGGAAAGCAGAGCGCGGCAGTCATTGAGACAGTGTCCCTTTCTTCCCGGTTCTTCCCTGCGTCTCCTGCTCTGCATGAGTGTTCGTTTGCGCGCAGAGGACTTTTTACCCCTTGCGGCAGCAGCTTTTCGCGGCCACGTCGGCTGCGGCTTGGAACATAACTCCTCTCCCACCCTGGCCGTTCCCTCTCCATCCGCGCCTCCTGCCCTCGCTCACTCTGAGTCTCTTTATCTCTCTCTCTCTCTCTCTTTCTTTCTCTCTCTCTCTCTCTATATCTCTCTCTCTCTCTCTCTCTCTCTCTTTATCTCTCACTATTTCCCTCCCACTCCAAGTTCTCAATCTCCCTCGCTCTCTCGCTCTCTCTCGCTTTCGCGCTCTCTCGCTCTCTCGCTCTCGCGCTCTCTCGCTCTCTCGCTCTCTCGCTCTCTCGCTCTCTCGCTCTCTCGCTCTCTCGCTCTCTCGCTCTCTCGCTCTCTCGCTCTCTCGCTCTCGATCTCCCTCTCCTCCACATTTGTCTGTCGTCCTTGGATTTTGTCTCTCTCGCTTCCTCCCTTGCTTCATTTTGCTCGCTCCTTAGTCTCTCCTCTCCATCTCTTTCGCTCTCGCCTCTCAGTCGGTCTATCTCTTTGTCTCTTTCTGCGTTTCTCTGTTGGTTGATAGTTTGTTGTCTCTTCTGTCTCTTTCTATTCTCTGTCTGTTTTGCATCTTCTGTGCCCTCTCTCTCTGTCTCGCCCTCCGTTCTCTTGCTATTTCTTTGGTTTTCGCCTAGGTTTGCTCGTGCCACAAAAAGACAGAGTTGCCCCAAAGCTTACGCGCCACACGTCGAGGTGGACAAAAGGGGGCAGTCACAAATGTCCTTTTGGCTTTTCTTTAAGCACGCGTCTGATCCGAGAGAGCAGCTTCTTCTTCTGTCGCATCTGTAGCATCAGGCATGCAAATGCTGCTGGCGGCACGCGCGATACCGGAACTCCGTGCAAAGCGTACCGCCAGGCAGGAAGTGGGCAGGACATTTCAGACATCTCATGATGCTCACTGCACGTGGTTCCCAAAATGTCAAAAGGACGACTAAAGTTTCAAGTCAGAAGCTGCTGCGCCGTGAATGCGTTTTGCTTAGCTCATCGTCTGCTCGTGTGGGTGCCATGCAAGAAAGAAGGCTGTGCGTGCCCCCTGTTCCTCATGAGAAGCCCTGTAGAATCGTGTATCCGTGGTCAGGTCTGCTATGGATTTTGCCGTGATTGGGCAGGATGCGGCAGTTTCCAGTTTCCAGTCCCGTGCATGTTCTGAGATGATGGAGGTGTTGCTTGCCTTTGATCCGCGGCACTTTTCAGAGATGTCTGCGGGCTTGTATTGCAGGAGCTGCCCACTGCAGAGCTCTTGGCCGCTTGGCATCCATCCGCTGTTCAGCGCTGCAACGTGTTGACCCCTTTGACGTGTACCTTGGGTGATGTCTGAGGCAGACCAGCTGTCGCCAGGCCCTGCCACCACTGCGATTTTCGCTACAGCCTTGACGTGGGCTGTGCATACTGGCGTGACAGGCGGGCTGCTCAAGTAGAATAAAGCTAGCACCCATCATGTCGAACAGACGATCATGCTCTTCCGCATTTCATAGAACGAGGCTTGCCCACCTTACGTTCCCAGGTCAGACTTCTTAGTTTGATAGCTGCAGCCTTTTGCGCGCCATTGGTGCATGCATGTCTACTTGCGGAATTGGGCGGTTGAGCGTGGCGGTACCGCTGCATGAACCCTTTAACCACATGGCTATGAGGTATGCTTTCACTCCTCGCCCGCCGCTGTCCGGCAGCATTGAAGAGTCAGGAGCTTCAACTTCAGTTTCTCCACCTGAGCAGATCTTAGCAGTCTCAAGGGTGCTTGGAGAGCTTGGAGCGGCAGGGTTAAGAATGCCCAGAAGCAGCAGTGTCCATGATCAATGCCAGTTCAGAGTTTTCTCGGCCCTGCAGGATATCATTTACCTGGTCTTGATGCACGGTCCAAAGTCTCGTGCCGAGGTGCAGGGTTGGGAGGGTTTGCCCGTGCACGTATGTTTCATCACGTTTTTGGACCGATGGTGTGTGGAGGTTACCTGGCCGCCTTTCCCTGCTAATGCTGAGCGAAGTCCGGCCCCTCCTTCGCCTCCGAGGTAGCGACCGCCAAAGTCTGCGCAAAGATGTTCTTTTTGCAATACGTGTCGCGGAGTTTTCCATGGGTTCCGCCGAGTGTGTTCTGCGGAGAGGCAGGAGGCACTACGCCGAGGTGGGTCCTGCAAAAGCTGTGATGTCTGATGTTTCAGTGGGATTATCAGAAGACACCCGCGCTGCTCCACAGGAACCATCACAGCACTCAGTCCGGTTTCAATAGAATGCTGTGCCCTGGCGCCGTTTTGCTGATGCCTGTAATCATATACATGCTCACACAGTGTCTGAAGATGGCACGCCTACGGTGTTTTGTTTTTTCTGTTTTTTGCATCAAAAAAGGTGTGCTGCTGAGGCCTCGCCCTGCTGGAGGCAAAGGCCGACGTGACCGAGGCGACTCTCACCTTTGCTCTCAGGCACCGAGTTGCGCTGTTGCACTCTTGCACTCTGGCACACCGGATACACAGTACTAGACACACCGCGTGGGATGACACCATGTGGGGGAACTCGGGAAGCATTCAAAAGCCGTGCCGGTTTGAAGCTCCCTCTGAGGCGTGGGCTGGGCCTTAAAGCCCCAGAGCAGCCGCTGATGGAGTCGCTTGTGGAACGCTACTTGTGCTTCGGCTCCACCTGAGTTTCAGGGTCCGCCGGGGCTGCCAAAGTAATTGAGATCCAGCTGAGCTTACAGCGCGCTAGAACTCTCGTAGCCGTGGCACTGCGCAAGTTTCGAGATGCGAACCTACGGTAGCGTCTGTGGGTAAAGATACACATAGATGCACCGTTGTCGAGAGCAATGTGTTCATGCGCGGCCATGCACGCAAAGTGTGTTCAAGTGTGCAGCAGGTTGCCAGCTGTGCAACATGCATTAAGCTGAGCTCCACGTAAATTGTCGCCGTTCTCGACTGGGGGAGCAGGGCACCACGTTCTTTCGTGCCGTGCTGTCTAAGGCAGACAGCAGAAACCAGCAAGTTATGCTGGCCACTGGTCGCTGCAACGGCTGCCCGCAACACTTCCGCTGCTACCCGGTGCGCCTTATGCCTTGTCGAACTTAGTTTCTGTAGTTTCAGATGACCATACTGTGCGCAAACACCCGCGCTAGCAACTTAGGTGTCCCTGCTGCTGACGTCCAAGGCCGATCCTGCCGGCGCAGGCATGCTCTGTTCAAACACATTGGCTGAAAGTTTCGTGTTCGCATCCTCACTCTTATTCCACAGCCTTGTTCATCCATTCGCCAGGTGCAGCTCAACACCCGCCCTTTGGGGGGGCCATAGTGGGGCCGTCATGAGACTATGAGGTATCCCTTCTACTCCCTTATTGGTGAGTGTATGAGGCTACATATATAGTTATATGCAAACATACGTAGGGGTTCGTCAATACAAATTGGTCGGTGCATATATGGTTTTTGGGGAGATGAATTAGTGCAAGCCGCTTTCCATGCATCATTCGATTGTAAGGGAGAGACAGACGAGAGCGAACGTATGCATCATAGTCACACAGCAGCCCAAGAGGCCCCCGCTTTTTGCAGTCTTTAGCAAATCTTGCAAATCTTGCAAATCTTATGCGCACCCTGATCAGATGGCTTCGCCTTCACTGCAGCCGCCAACTCTGAGGAGTGCTTGGCCCTACTCCTCGAGGCCTTGCAAAATGTGTTGGTCATTTGTGTTGCAAGGTAGGAGAAGTAGCCTTGTGACCAAGATGTCTTGTTTCAGGTAGGGTAAGTAGGCTTTGCGCTAATCTCATCCGATGAGGCCTGTGATGGAGTGCCGAAATGCCCGAAGAGTCTCGATTCTTGACTCTGATCAAGTGCAGATGCTTTTTGCCATCGAGGCGCATTGGTGGTTTGGCAGTTATTGGCGGGAGCATTCTGCAGTCTTGTGCAGCCAAGGATGCCGCCAAAGACGACAAAGTCAGCCTTCTTGAGGCTGGGTCAAGCTGTGTCTTGCGGCACCCTGTGGCCCTTGCGGCGTTATATGGCGATCTTGGCAGGCGGCAGCATCTGCAGGGAATGTCGAGTGGCTTGACCGTTCTGAAAATGCGAAGTTTTTGAGTTTATCTTTGGGCCTCGCTGTTTCGCAGCGGTTCTTTTCCTTCGGAGTGTGCACATGCAGGACACAGATGACCTGTAGGTGTCACACCGTGTCGCATCTGTTAGAGACATCACTCGAGGTGCGTGGCCCTGCTGCTCCGTGGTGATGGTGGTACTGAGCCGGCGGCGGAGGCGGCGGCTGCAGCGCAACGGGCGGCACACTTCGACGCTGGCCACAACTCCATGGGTACATCACGTACATCATGTACAGGTAGGTAAAGGTTCCTCGGCTCGTGGTTCATCAGGTGGAGATTTCAGAGCCCGCCAGGTCCAGACCACCAAACCACAAAGTGAGATGGAAGGAAGCAACAGCAGCCGAGCAAGGCCGTGTGAGGCAACGCTCAAAAAGACACCTTCAGGGCACTTTGAGTTGTCCCACAATTTGTCCCCCACTCTTGGTCCTTCTCTTCGCCAAAGCCAAGCCATGAGCAAACAAAGGAGCATCGGCAAGACAGAGAACATGCATGGGAGGAGGAAAAGTATCGGAGACGTGAGGTGGCGGCACCAACAATCGGCGAAACGATGGGGTCAGAGCGCAAGAGAAATGATCCAAGATGAGGGATGCGTAGCTTGTGATTCCCGTCAACCCAAATACCGAAGCACGAAGCCCTAGTACCGATGTTCTAACCAAATGGACGAGGCGTTCATAAAACTCAAGAGTTTGGGCTCAGTTGGCTTGGAACGCCCGGGTGGCTGTTCTGAAGCATCTGTTCTGCGAGTGTTGGTCAAAGTTGTTATTGTTGTGTCAGGACATCTCCCATTGGCTTCAGTCTGCAGAAGTGGGCAGCACAGCCTCTTGGCAGCTGCTCTGTGCAACTTTTTTGTGCAGGAATCCAGGTCTCAATTCTTTCCATGAGATGGCGCGCTATCGACACCCCAGGTTCTGGGCTTTCATGCCTCAAAGGTCGAGCGAGAGAGAATCTTCCATGTCCGAGATCTGTCCGAAGGCACTTTGGGGGCATTAGCCTGGCAAGGCTCTCCAAATCTCCAAAGGTCAAGAGACTTCACGAACACATGGCGACTTAGAATCCCAGATTCTGGAACCAAGCGCCAGCTTGTAACCAGGTGATCAGCTTCTTTCGTGGCAGTCTTTGCTGAAACCTGCAGATGCTTCAGCTCAGCAGCCGGCCTGGGCAGAGAGCCCAGACTGAACGTTGGAAGTTTCACTTTTTGTGAGCCCGAAATGTGAATCCTTGTAAGATTCGTCGGTGAGCGTGGTGGGTGCAGGTGTGGGTTTGGGCTTGCGCCGTAATTTGCCGTGCTCCGGGCGTGGGGGCAGTGGGCGTGGGTGTGGGAGCGTGCATTGGAGCTCTTGAAAGTAGTTTTACATGAGTTTACCACACTCCAGGAATGCTAAGGTGTGGGGAAGGGACATGTGCAAGTCTGAGTTGTGGGCTGTTCTTGTGCCAGGATCTTGTGAGTCATGGCTTCCTGCCAAAAAGAAGGGGCGAATGCTTGGGGCTTGGGGGTTGGCTTGCAGCACGGCTCAGGGTGCGGGATTGCACAGGGCGTCCCTAACACTTGCACTCTGACAAACAAGTCATGTACGTAAATGTTTCAGCTGTTGCTTGTGCATCGAATGTGGGCTTTGTCACTCGGAAGGCAAGCGATCAACCATACTGAGTGCATGTCAGGCACCGGGGGTGTTTTGCCTGGGAGGAGGAATTCAGTTCGGCTCTTCACAATTTTGGGGGCTCAGTGCAGCAGCCAAGGAGCTTGGAGGATGCACGACGGGTGCTGCGTCTCCTTGAGGTCGGTCGCTGTAGTGAGCACCTTCCCCAAGATTCTGCCCCTCTACCGTGGGCTTGTCGGCACATGAGGCGTTGCATCCCAGTTGCATTCCAGTTCCATTCCCTATGTGTGTCTTTCTCAAGGAGGACCTATTGGAAGTGGCCATCCTCGGAGTTGACCTTGAATGTTGCTAAGCTGAATCGCCATCTGAATCGGCTATATGGAAGAGTCGCTGCCGAACCCTGTTCTTAAACGACTTCTAAGGCCATTCTGACGTGGTCTGTACCCTGCAAATGGCGACAGTGAATCGGACCGTTGTCTTGGACTCACTGCAGCTGCACAGCTGCCTTGGGGACCTTGTTGGCCACATCTTCATTGATGGATCCATCATCAAGCTTTTCCACGCCCCGCGCAATGATCTGCGATGGCTTTGGACTAACTTTGGCATCCCCGTAGCCTCTCGGCGCTACACCGTGATGTGGTTCTAAAGTTTGAGGACGCCCCAGAGCCTAGGAGTCGATGCTGTATCATGTGTTCCCTTATGGCGTGTTGCAGAGGTGAACATGTTCGATACATACACTGCGGCTGC